GGTCGCTATGAAAATCTTTGAAGGTAACCTGATTACGATTGACTGTGCCATGTTGACGAGGCTGGTGTAATTAGATTGGAAAGTGTCAAACTGTCGAATACTTCTTAAGATAAGAAAAAAATCTTATTATCTTTATGTTTTGGCACTGGGATTACTGAAATATTAACGCTGTTTAGGGTTTCGTGATCCAAAAGTAAAGGACACGCCTTCAGTTTAACAAGGACTAAGAAGTAAATGATTGTATTTTTATTGTTGTTTTAATATTAATCTTTCAGCCAAATTACGTCCACTGCTGGACACAGGCTGCTCTCTCCCCCAAGGATTTCCCCAACAATCGGTCCTGCGCCGCCCTCATCCAGGCACCTCCCGCGACCCTCACCAAATCTTCGGTCATTTGGCTGAAACGAACGAACGAGGTAATATTAGGTCGATCTATTATAGTGTAATGCCAATTTACCTCATCTAGCTTGACTAGAAACGTCATTCATTTATATCTCTCTATTCGTCTGAAAATTATGAAATGTTCAGACTAATAGAGAGATATAAATAATTTATACTCATGAAACAGTATTCCCTTTCAGAATGAAATAAACTTTCCAAAGGAAACTGCATCGTATTTTTCTCTGAGTAAATAATCTAGGTAAATATTTGCTCAAAGGAATGCCGGTGCAGCCGTTACATAGAAAACGATGAAAATAGACGAATAAAAACAGGTACTCAATAGGACAGCTTGGATGAAATTGAAATATTTGAGAAGAGATTGCTATTTGCCTTTGACGGTAAAGGTAACATAGACTTGTGTTGGGTAATGGTAATGAAACCAAACTTTAAGACTAAAAACTAAAAATGCGTGCTGTAAGAAAATATGTATACATAGCTGAAATATGGTATACATTTCTGGTTGGAATCATATTCTGTCACAGTAAAAACAAAACACTTCTATTGAAAAAGTAAGTACCTAATCAGCATATACATATAACATATGAATTACCTTCAGCAAGTTACATGCTTGCATACGTCTACTTATGCGGGTAGCTACTCGTAGCAGTGCGTAATATGTGCTAATATTTAAACAACTAATAAATACATTATAGTACTTGTGTCATTCGAGAGTTACGCTTACGGTGAGGTGACTTGTCCTATTGTCATTTAATTTTGCATACCACGAGATAGTTCTTTGTAAAAAATGGTATTTCCCGACTAGCATGCAGTGATGCACGCAGCATCTCGAATAATTCCAAGAATTAGACATACTTGGGTCTAATTTAAGTAAGTTTAAAAAACAAATCCGGGATTTGTCTTGTGGCAACTAAATTTCGAGCGTCGGGTGATGTTTGCAGTTCGCTCCTTTATTAATTAGGTAGTTGATAATTTTTCTTTTGTCGCTTTGTTTACTTTTTTTTTATATAAGTTTATATTTTTCACAACAAAATTTTATTCATAATGGTTTGCCCAACTTTATGTGTATATTTAACTGTGGAAACTTAATTGGTTTATGTGTTTTCTTACTGCACCTAAGTTAAATTATATTGTAACTGTATGTTTCCCAAAAATAAATAAATAAATAAATAGGTAGTAAAATAGTGTTGACATTCTGGCTTCAGTATGAAACGCAAACGTAAAATCTTTGACGCCAAAGGAAATGAAACTGTATTTTCCATAAACGAGTGTAGATTTAATTAGGTATCGCTCGCACCTGACGGTTCCCTCCAGTATTTGTCCGCTGGAGGGCGCCACGAGAATGTAGGTTAAGTGATGCTCCGATCCCGCCGGAGCCTGTGCTATGGATTAATCGTTCGTTAAACACCGCGCTAATTCCATTAACTCTTTTAAAATACAGCTACGTTCCTTGAATCAACGTGGAAAGTGGATACCTACTCGTAGTTCAATTGGTTAATGGTAATGAGAGAGCAACATTAGTCGGTATTTAAGTTTATGTAACTCTTTCGAAAAGTAGTATGTAGTAGGTACTAAGTATAGGTAAGTAATCTATATTATACATAATATTATAAACCTGATAAAGCTGAAGATGTTGTTTGCTTGAACGCGCTACCTAGACCTATAAAAATAGGTCTAGTTTCATCTATTTTCATATGTACACTTTAACGTGACTCACACTGTATATATATGACCTAGCCCATATCCTAGGTCGATTTGAAAAAATATTTTTGAGTTTCCCATTTATCAAGGAAGGCTTAGGCTATATACTAACATCACCCTACAGCCAATTGCGGCGGAGCAATAAAGTAAAATGTTGCAAAAAAGGCAAATATTATTCAAATATATTCACGCGTAAGAAGTCGCGGGCACAGCTAGTACCTACTTAAAGAAAATTTAACTAGTATAGTGTCTATCTTGCTCATATGAACTTAACTCCAAAAACTAATAATCTCTCTGCCAAAACCCCAAGAATAACCCGTACAGAAAACAACCGCACGTGACGTATATTAATTTAAGTTTTAATTAGGGGGCCTATTTCGTAGGCACTTGCGACTAAGTTAATTAAGTTCGCGCCAAGGCTGTTTACATACAGACAATGGGAGAAACGAGGCGATGCCCACTCTGATTTTGTTCCACAGCATTTAAATACAACTTTAGACAGTTACTTGCTACAGTTAAATTCAGGAGTCGTTTAGTTTGTCTCATGAAATTGTGTATGATTAGTTGATTACGATTAGCCTTTTGATGACAATGGCGATTACAAATGTTACGGGCTTGTCGTCTAATATCCTGTCGTTCATGAGTATAATGCAGTCTACATACTACGACATGAGTCGTCGACCTTTTGACATGTTATCAAAAGTCAAGAAAGTACAAGTCGTCGACTTGATTCGTTTGAAATAAAGCCGCCGACACCAAGTCGCCTGGCTATCGGCGGTTTTGGTGTGTAGAGTCATTTATAGAGGGTGGGACCATAACATAACTTTAATGATGCACTTATCTACGTTTTCTGTTCACATTCTGACTATTCTGATGTCGAACCACCAGTAATCCTGTATAGATAATTAGCGAAACATTAATGAAGAACCTTTATCTGTAAGTAATGAAGGTGTACATTTCCCTGTATTGTGCCAGTGCCGGCGGTAACTCATCGCTTTATTTACACAAATGGTAGATTACACAGGGGAGCTGCGCCGCACAAACGCTTTTCCGATACAGCCGCTAGAATGAAAGCCTTTATGGCTCGTAAATAGAAATTATAGAGCAACCTGGGCGCGGGTCATTTTCACAGACGCCCGTCGCCCGCCTAATATTGTTGTGGCTTCAATGAGGATCAGTACTGTTGTAGAAAATTCAATAAAACTAGTATCTACGTTAATCTTTAAGACATAAGAAAGATATATCTTTNACACTTTATTTGAATAAATCGCCAAATATACCACCGCGGAGACCCCAATCGCGTCTCTGCGTTCCATTAAATCGTATGAGCATATGGATTTTTCGAGTTATTTTTCACAATTTCTGTTTTTAAAAATTACCTATCGATAGCTTACTTTATTCTGATGAATAAATGTCATTACAAGTTTTTCTCTAAAACTGATAGTTTGGCTAGAAAAAAATATTTTCTATCCACGCAGTACGCCGGCAGCGTTCAGATCGGATATAGTGACGTCATCGTCCCCGCGCCGGGCGGTCAGTGAACTTTTTTAGTAATTTGGCCATAACTTCGTCAATTTTTGTCGTAGAACAAAAATTTTTGGACTGTGTATTAAGGATTTCTTAGCCCTATAAATCTGCATTCACAGCTAAAACTCGAAATGATCCTCATTATGTATTTACCTTTACTCTGTTTTACTGAAAAAGTTTATTTATTAAATATAGTCTAAAGTTCTAAACTAGAGTGACGAATGTTCCACTGATAGAAATACCAGCAGTATTCTTTTGAAAATTACGATGAGGCGCATTGTATGTAGTGATGTAACAATATCGCAGAATGGTGTTTCGGAGTCACGTATAGGCCGTTGTGGACTATAGCAGTCACCATAGATGTTTGACATCGGCGACATGGCTCATGTAACGACCGCTTCAGAGCATTAACCGAGCCCGCCGGGTTTTAACGTGCAATGGAATGTACCTACTTGTGTTAAGTCGTGTATCCTAGTGTGGGACGTTACCCGACAAGCAAACGACTTACAGCTGTGGTTGGCAGCGATGCAAAAGGCATACTTAGCCGAGGTTTGCTTTTCTGCGCCGTTTAGTCGTGGATAGAGTCAATGGTCACGACGTTCTTAAATTAAATTGCAACGTTTTTTTTTTTAATTTTCTTTATCTTTCCTACGCTTAAACTGTAGTCATAAATTGCAGTGTGTAAAGTTTAAGCTNTTAAACTTAAAATAAGTTAGTTACGTTAAAAAAACAGTGCCCACCTACTATTCAAAACACTAATTTAGAAGTAGCCCAAAGCCAAAGGTTTTTCAAGAGCGAGTGCCAAATTGAATGTAAACCATGAAATTATCTTTCTGATACTTGTGGCAAGAATAATTATTTCAATACAAGTCGACCGCAATCAAAGAGCGGCGAGTCCCAGAAGCGTCGGGAAGGTAAGAGGGGCTCGAGTTCCTGCCTACTCACAATTAACTTGAAGGGTCGGGGCCGATTGTTATCTGCGAAGGTGCCCGGCAGATCAAAGATTAAAATACAAGTTGGACACTTGATTGCGTACGAATTGTGCGGATTTTGATGAGCGTGGAGATCTTCTAAGATGGGAAAGAATTCTGTTTAAGGTTATTGCCCATATTGCAACGCAAGCTTGTTTAGATAAAATATCTTGGGTATTGGGTATATTAAAAACAAAAACTGGATAAAAGTACAAAAAATATATTTGGAGGAATCTCCATTAGCGTACATTAACTCTAATTTAAAACTAATGTAACAAATATTTAATAAGGATATTGTAATAAATTCGTAATGTTTGCAATTTATGTGCATAATACTGTTAAACTTTACAATGTAGAAACAAATATGATATGCAAGTGAATTAATTTTAGGTATTGGTATGCTTAAATAATACATAATTTTGTAAAAGTTAAACATTTGGTGTGTGGAATTGCATATTAAAAATGTTTAATTATTACACGATAATCTTTAAAAAAATTTCGCAAATAAAGGCAAAGGCCATATAAACCATCACACGACTGCAGCTATGTGATTACTGTGTCATCCTAAAACTAATTTTCACATTACCTTTGGGTTTTCCAAAAGTTCAACTAAAGTTATCAGACTTAGCCGATTCCTATACTGGAACCTCATAGACTCTTTGCTTACGTACGAGTAAAGTGACAATAATGGCAGTTTTCATGAAGTAATTATGTTAAAGTTAGGGTTCCACTAGAATCAATTGAAGCAGATGCAACGCCCATTGCGGCACATGGCTCCGCGGAACCCGAGGCGCCGGCATAAGTTGAAGCAGGGGACGATGTTGCAAGCCCGAGCACCGGTCTCGACTTCCAGCTCGTCATCTGAAATATTAATTTTACATTTAGGCTAAAATTATTTTTTTAATACAAGAGAACTAATAAGTTTGTCAATAGGCCTAGAGTAGTCTTAAAATAACGAGAAGTAACTTCTAAGATAGATACTTATTAACTATCATATTCTAACTTATTTACTTGGGTTGATGTAACTGTAAGTCAATCATAGAGGAAGATAGAAAACAATAACTCAAGTTACAAGCCACGATCACGATGGAAACTTCCAGTTTCGATATTAGCTGACTTGGTATCGATAACACACCAAAATTGTGTGAGGTAGTTCTTGTTTCTTTTTTGACTGAACCTTCTCAAAGCCAAAAGCTTTTTTTGGGGATTGTCCCGCTGAAGGGCGTAGAGCGCCACTCATAAAAACTGACTTAAATCATAGCATAGTGCAATGACAGTGACATCCGCGGATTAGATAATTCAAGATTAACTTACCAAACTTCTGGAACGGCACTGGTACAGCCGAGCGCATTATATTAGCGAGGTTTATGTCGCACTTGCAGCGTCCGTTGACACACACGCCGCCAGTGAATCCCATGCGGCGGCAGTTTTTATCACACCAACGCAAGTCACAGTCGCCCGCCTTCACTTGACCAACTTCAGAATCTGCTTGCTCATCACCAACTAGACCACTCGTGGGGCTAACAAGGTTATCCTCGATAGAGTTTTCTGAAACAAATCAGATAACAACTGCAAAAAGATGAAAATAAGACATATTCTGAGCTAATCTAGCCCTGAAGGAAAAAATATAGAAGTAAATTTAGATACTTTAACGTCATCATCATTTCTGCTACTGCTGAAGAAATCATACGTTTAGTAGGTCATCATGTGATGAGTGAGTTAAAATTTAGTATAATTTACCAAGTACGCCAGCCGAACGTCCATTGTCACATTTGCAGCGTCCGTTAGCGCAGACACCGCCAGCGAATCCAAATCGACGACAAATTTGTTCACACCAGCGTAGGTTACAGCTGGCCCACTTCGTCTCAATTTCTATGTGATCATCTACAACGGAAGCACTCATGGCGACAATGTCGTTATCTTTGGAAGAGTCAGCTGCCGAAGATTTGCTCACCGTAAAAATACCTGAAGCAAGAGATTTATTGATAAATAACAACGAACATTAACATACATAAGTTAGCAATTTCAAGCAAAGAAATGTAAGTTCTTATTCTTACTAGTCTAGTCAATGAATGCTTTAACTATGGTGTAGAGGGAAATGCGTGGAATACAATTTCTGACTTCGGGATTTTATTTAGACTAGTTAGGAGGTGAACATATCAAAAGTCTCCGCCTTTAGCCCTTGAGCCGGGAGGGGAGAGGGGTTTGAAGGTACCATTTTTTGTTTTTTCATTCTCTAGCGTGAGTAGTTTGTTGTTGACCAGACGTTTGTTTATAGGCACAAGTCTAGATTATAAAGACGTTAATATATCGCGGTTAATGTAGGCATACCTTCATCCAAAGATCTTCGCTTCCGGGAGCGGCACTGGCAGTAGGTGCCGATGCACACGCCGCGCGCGTGGCCGAGCTTCTTGCAGTGGTTGTTACACTCCCATGCCCCACAGCTTCTGCGCACCCGAACATGTTCAGCCGCATCTAGTAGAAGCAGATTTTCTTTACCAACAAATTATAATAGGTTTGATTTCTTAATTTCAAAGTTTTAGCTGTGTATTTGATATTAATTTCTTAACCAAAATCTTCAAATTCAAATTTTTTAATGCATATTAAGGCTGAGTTGCACCATCTTACTTAAACTTTAACAAACGTCAAAAATCTGTAAATCTCCATACAAAAAGCACCGGTTATCGTCAAAGTTACGGTCAAAGTTAGGTGGTGCAACTCAGCCTAAGTGTTTATATGGGTCTTTCTTAATCTTAACAATTGAACTTAACTTAATAACCCGTTAATGGGTATTGCAATATTAGTGGTGAGACTTACCTACACTCTCCTCATCACTTGGCAAGGATATGTCTCTTCCAACTTTAGCTGCGCCATCATCAATAGGTTCTGCGTAAGCATAAATAATAAAATCAATATGAAGCTTTGAAGTAGACGTATGGAAAGACATTTCAAAGTTTTTTCACATATTTTAATGACGTACCATCTACCAAATCTGAAGAAGGCGCGGCTTCGGCGGCTTCAAAAGTTTTTGCTTCAATGTTACGCGCAACAGCATCATCTAAAAATGATCATTTTTTATATTTGTTACAATTTAGTCATAAATACCTAACTAGGTATTAAGTTATGGATATTTTTTGAACTATAACAAGTTTCAAGAAACTTAAATCTCTATGATTATTTTGTAAAACTTTAAATAAACAATGATAAACATGTACAATCATGGCATAATTAATGGCACAGGTGTCTCTATTACTTTATCTAGCATGAGTAGTTTGTCTAAGACCAGACATCTCAAGAAGTTTTAAAAACAGGCCTAGATCATAATAATGATGTTGAAATATCACGGCTGATGCATACCTTCATCCAACGATCTTCGCTTGCGGAAGCGGCACTGGCAGTAGCTGCCGATGCAGACGCCGCGGGCGTGGCCGAGCTTTTGGCAGAAGCTGTTGCAGCCGGAGTAACTGCAGCCGGTGCTGCGAGCCGAACGCGACACATCCACGAGGCTGGACGCATCTAGCGAAGGAAATAACTCTAAATAAAAATTATACAGGGTGAATTTGCTATCAGTGTCCAAATTTTTGGGAGCAACTCAAAATCAGTAACTTAATCGATTTACGTAAAGAAAACATTTTTTTTTCATATTTAATTTTAAAATTGGCACAAATACAAATATTTTTTTACAAACACAGATTGGCACACGTGGATAAGTTACTTCGTTCATAGAAAAATACGTACACACAAGTAACTGCAAAGCTTAATAGACATAATGATGTGCAAAAATAAGCATTAACCTTTGAAACTTAAGATATGGGCGCGCAAATTAGATTTTCAATATTTTTTTTTGCCAAAAATTCCACATTTGAAAATAATTAAGATATTGTTAAATTGTTCTATAGAGCTTATTACAAAAAAATGGATACCCATTAAAAATCACCCTGTATGTCGTCCAGGAATGTAACTGGGGCCTCTGCTTTCAAATAGATTAGACTACTTTGTTATACATAATTATAAGGTGTTATAATTAAAAATAAGAACGGGTGAAACGATCAGCATGCATGGCCATCGTTGTCCTAGAGAACACAAAGAACTAAAAAAAATACCGTATACTCATATTTAATTTAAAAAATCTAGGCTGACCGAAAATGTATTATTATGAAGGCCAAAACCAGTTTAGACAAAAAACACGCGCCGCTATTTTCATTGGGCAATGAATTTTTTACTGGTTCGGAAGCAAACGAGGTAATCGCTAGACAGTCTGGCACTCGGCTTTGATAAATCAATAATTTAAACCTGATTCAGCTTGATTATTACGAGTAGAAACAGGTTTCATAACAGGGGTTAACCTCTGATGAACCTAGGTATTGATAAATAACACCTACACCATACATTAAATTATGGACATAGATACTATAGGTATAGTCAATGAAGCATGTTAGTATGATAAATATTCATAAGATAGTAACTCTATTATCAACCTGTCAATCAGTGCAAAAAAAAAAACAAAACATTCGAAAACAGACAGAAACATAAAATAAATACAAATGAGTTAACAAAGTTTGAAATTCTATAAGATGTGAAGTTATTTTTATCATTTGACTAATTACTTGAGGATTGCATATAAATAAACAAATAATAGTGAAAGGAGATTTAAAAGAATAAAAGAAAAAATATTAATAAAATACTCAAACATTAGATTGTATCTTAAAAACATGCTTGTTTTTTTCGGCAGCCTCTGAGATATTACCAAAATCAAAATTTAGTGTACTTTCTAGGCCTCTAGGGCATCGTTTGAGCTAATTCCTTACCTTCGTCCCCGAGGATGCTCGGACCTGACGCCTTCGCCAAGTAAAGGCAGGTTGCAACAATTAAAAGTTTGCACCACATGATTCGTGTGTAAATGATTCCCAACTGATGCCACACAGGATTGCCTCAGGCTTTTATACAGCTGAAGTCGACGGGACTTCACCCGGTGCAAAGGATGATTCAGAGCGCGGGCTTTTGTATCTAGCCCGCATGCCAGGGCTGCCATTTCTGTCGAAGTATGAAATCGAAACAGGAAAATAAGAAAATGCTTTATTTATGATTGTGAGAAAATGCTACTTAATCTTAATGTGTCATAATAATATTAGATGCAACTTGGTACTTTCGAAAAAATACGAATTTTTTTTACTTATTAAAAAAAATCTCGATTTGTCGATTTTATTATTAAGATCAACCCAAGAAAACCTTTATAATTTAGGGGAGAATTATTTCATTTCTCAATTAGTATTAACTGATTACTCTTTCGGAAGTATTAATAAACTAGCTGTGCCCGCGACTTCGTACGCGTGAAAATCGTTTGAATACAGTTTTTGCAACATTTTTCATTGATGCTCTGCTCTTATTGGTCGTAGCGTGCCGGCACAGTAATAATAGCCTTCCTTGATACATGGGATATCCAATACAAAAACAATATTTGTTCTCGAGATAAGCAAAATGTAAATTAGGTATTGTACTACTAACATACTTCTAAGAACATTGCTATTAACTCTACTAACATAGTCTCTAAGATCAAATTGTTACTAACCAAATAATGGACTGCTTTGTCTGAAAATAAATGTTTTATTTTGTTTTCATTTATTGTATGTAGAATAGAAAGAAGAATAGAAGTTTTTTTTTAAAATTAGGATGAACGCGAGTTACAATATTTCAACCCTAATAATTATTTTTCAATTAAGGACTCATACCTGTTTACTAGTTATTATTTGATAAGTGATAAAAAGTATGTACTCGTATGTTATATGAATCAATAATTTTCCTGTGAAATTTTCGCAATGTTGTTTAAAATAGATTACAAACAACAACTTGAAAACAAGTGGTTTGGCAATCAGATCAAACCCCGACATTTGCGATTCCCGGCTATAATATTCATAATAAAATATTATTAAGATTGTCCTCTAGCAAAAACAATGGGAGGTATCCTATGTTTAGAGTTGGACTCTTTCGACCATGGTTCGATTCGCAAAGAAGTACCTACATAAAGTTAAAAACATATAGAACGTAGGTCTGAAACTATCCCAAAAATAGCCGTCGCCAGTCAAAAAAAAGGATTAGGTTATTTGTAATTAATAAGTTTTGCATTCCCTAAGTACACCACACTTGTTTACCACTAGTAAATATTAGTAATATTAACGTGTAGGTAACTAATGTATTTTGTGGCAATAAAATATGTTCTATATATTTCGCGATGTTATTTACCTTGTCATTATCTCAAATTATAAATATAACAAAAACTTGAAATCAAGTAGATTAGCAGTGTAAATATGTGTTCCCGTTAACTTTTTACATGAGATAGTACTTATCTAGTGATATGCAATATGCGTTTGACGGCATGCAGTCCTTTGGAGTTGATTAGGTACTGATTCACAGTTAACTAAGTGTAGGCGCACACTGGGCGACACGCGACAGCGATAGCTCGGCGACTAGACACTTATTCTAGACGAAGACAAGTGCACGAAGCTTCGAACAAAATATATTGAAACTAGCGGCCGCCCGCGACTTCGTACGCGTGGATCTCGTTTTACCCCCTTCAACAAATTCCCCTTCAAAAACTTCACCCAGTTTCGTAAAATCCTTTCTTAGCGAATGCCTACGTCATAATAATATCTACCTGCAAGCCAAATTTCAGCCCGATCCGTCCAGTGGTTTGGGCTGTGCGTTGATAGATCACTATGCGAGTCAGTCAGTCACCTTTGAGATATATTTATTTAGATTGTCGGCCGCAGTTGCTGAGCTGTCGCTGTCGCGTGTCGCCCAGTTTGCTCCTACACTCAGCAACTCGGCAAGCGTAGTGTAGGACGCCCTACAGCTAGGTACGAAAAGTCACAAGCTGGATGCAACAAGCGTTCAAGGTAGAATGGCGAGTAAGTATTTTGGTAGGCCTATGTCCAGCAGTAGACGCTATAATGATGAAAGTTTTATGAATCCAGAACTGACAACATTCTTATTCATCACGTGAAGTAGGCTGTTCCACTAATGCAGCGTTAACATTATCTTTGTCAGTTAATTAATAAATCGTAGCAGTACTTAATTACTTTACGTACTTTTATGTCTAAATTAACAAACATACTTGGTCAAAATTTGTAGTTAAATGCTGAATTAGGTAAATTAGTTTTTCTCTTCCTTTCCTTTTCCAATAATATTTTGATGTGTAAGAATTTAATTTCATGGATTTTCTTTTCAATTTTGATTTGTACAGGTGTTAGCTCCGTAAAATCCAATGAATCGACCACACTGAGCGATCGTTAACACGGGATTTTCCGGGGTCTGCAACAATGATTCAAGCGTTAACTCAGAAAAATTGGCGAGTTAATTTATAAGGCTGATAATTTCCGCATCTCTCATCTGTTTCTTACGACTCACACGAGGGAGCGCTGGTGCCAATCGCTGCGTTTTAATTGTTTGTTATATTTAATCCACTCGACGATTGTTAAATCGCCGATATCGTGGTCAGCTCTACCTAAATATTGACAGAACGTTAAATATTTGCGTGCGGTTAAATAAACTCAGTGTTTAAACTTTGAAAATATAGTGAGTGAAAAATCCACGCGGTGAAAAACAATGCGTTTTAATTTCTTTTGTGTGTTCTTGTTTATCGCAGTGCTGATGCAGATTGGCGTTCAAGGTAAATGAGATTGGTAGTTATTTTACATTTATTTTGGCTTACCTGTATAAAAAGCAGTGATAAGTTACAAACAACGTTTGTATCTCTAAAATTACTTTATCGGCCTAGTTTATAGCATAATTAATAACGTACATACGATAACTTAATCTAACATTAATGTGCTCTACCTAGTTGAAAGAAAGATGTAGCTATGTAAATTTTAATCTTACCAATTGTTCAACTGAATGTAACCACCATTTTCAGTTTTCAGCACTTTACTTCTGAGTTGATTATTTTCATATTAACAATAGAGTGAAATATTTATTACATAAAATATTCAAATATGAGGTACCTAAGTATTATTTATTGACTTTCTTACTTTTGGTCTTTGCAGTTGTTTCTATAGATCAGCGTTGAGTTTTAAACCATAGTCAAATGTCAAAACCTAGTGTTGTTTTTTGTTTGATATGTAACTAGGTAGGTACATTACAAATTAGACGATAAGAATTTGCAATTTTAATTCATTGCTTTCCTAGTGTCTACTTATATTACGGTATAAAAGTAAGTTGAGTCAATATTTTATTACGCAGACAGATACTCATTTATGTATTTAATGGACATGATTTCTTCCCGTATGTAAGTAGGTATAATATTATTATCGCACTGCAATATCGGGGGTCAGCTTCGAAGCTATTTATAGAGATATGTACGGAGCTATTTACGAGTGTAAGATAGATAGGATCTACATATTATATCCATTAATGAATAATAATAATCAATAATAAATATCCTTGGACATTTTACACTGCGCCTCTAGTCCCAAATTAAGCCAAGCTTGTACTATGGGTACTAGACAACGGATATAAACATACTTGAATACTTTTTTTTGTAAATACATACATATGACATAACACTCAGACCCGTCACAGAAATTAAAATTTATCATTTCAATTTCTGCCCGGCCGGAAATCGAACCCGGGACCTCTCGGCATAGTGGTCCGTTCTGAACCACTACACCAAACGGCCGACAAAAAAACTACTCTCATATAGGCGCTTATGCATCATGCGAAATTTCCGTTCCTTATTTATCTCTTATTTTGAATGGAAATGTTCAAAGAAAACACAAACGACTCTAACAGGAGGTGCGTAACGTGTGGCAAACTAAAAACAAACTTAGTTTTTTCTATAGATGTCAGAGCAATTAGTTTTAAATATTAACTATCATGCAATTATTTATATTTAATTATTCAATCGAGTTGTGGTTTATCCGCAAACGCCGCGATACCGCATCATTACAAGTAATATTGCGATGATAGCACAGCAATACATTTTTCGTAGAGTCGCTCTTATTACAACCATATAAGGCACCGATGTGCCTTATATGGTTGTAATAAGAGCGACTCTATCTCTATCATAGAACGATTTCTATGATAACAAAGTATGCAGCCGGCTCAGCAGTTGGAAAGTGCCGTTAGGTCTGATCGTACGCGGGGATCTCCCAGGCCCGATACTTACGCTTTAACATGCACTCCAGTGACCTCAGAGTAAATACTAACTACTTCTCATTAGAAGGGAAACATTATCCTTAAAGTTTTAATTATAAAACGATAATGGAACGTAATTGTGATTGTTTTTAACAACAATCAAGGTTTGCGATGGAACCGTCGAAGATTCGGAATTAATATTTACAATTACACGTAAGATTTTATAATATTGTTCAAAAGTGTGTCTTACGTGTGATCTGTCGTGAGAATTTTCATCATTCACACATCAATCAAACGAAAATATTTTAAAGTTATTAATAATTTATTGACTTATACGCTTCACACTTTGCTCTCCGCTCTATATTGGCACAGATAATATAAGATATTGGTATTATAATCACTAATCAGCTCATAATTCAGCAAAATGTTTCTTATTCACTTGATTTTGTCGCTCAAAAATAAATCACAGTCAAAAATTAACTCAGTTTTCAGGACTACATTGAAGAGAGGACTACTTACTCAACCTTCACTGGTTGGATTTACCATTGCCAAATCTTAGATCCTGGTTATACAGGAGTTGCAGTGGTGGGAAAGAGAGGTGGGATTAGTCCCGAAAGAATGAAGTGTTTCTTTTAATGTTGGGTGTAGCAGTGGTAGGGTTAATATTGGGACGTGTAAAAGCGCTTTTTTAAAGCCTATTTGCAAAAATAAATGAATTTTGAATTTTGAATTTTAATTTTAATGAAGTTGTGTTTTAGAATTACTTAATAGAGCCAAAGCAAACGATTCGTTGCGGTAAAGGTTTCGCCGT